GCCAGTTTGCTGGAGAGAAATGGAAAGAGACAGCTGGGAAGAGATCTTCTGGGGCTAGAGTAAATTTCAAACACCGACCATGGGAAGTGTATGGTGAAAGGAGCCTGAGTTTGATTGGATTAGTCTGTAAAGCGATGATGCCCCTGAACATTTTTTGAAAACAACAGAGCCAGGAGCTGCAATTGGTGGAGTTTAAGAGCTGGATGTGGTCTAGGAAATGAACAGCCTAAGAGAGCACTGCCAGAATCAATGCTATCTCTGGGCGACTGTGGGCGCCAAGGCTGTGCCCCTGAGGCACAGTACCCAGAGGCTTCACACTGCTGATGCAGAGAGGGAAAGACAGATCTGTATTTAGAATAGATAAAGAACTTCTATAATTCAACAACAAAAAGACAAGTAAGCCAATTAAAAAATGGGCTTAGGGCTGAAATAGACACTTCTCCATAGAAGATGCACAAGTGGTCAACAGGCACACAAAAAGATGTTCAACACTCTTAGTCATTAGGGAATAGCAAACCAAAGCCACAAGATACCACTTCACATCATTAAGATGACTGTAATCAAAGAAGCTGAAAATAGCAAGAATTGGTGACAGTGTGGTAAACCTGGAACCCTCATACATCACTGATGGGAATATAACAAAGTGCAGCCACTGTGGAAAATAATCTGGCAGTTTCTCAGTAACTTAAATATAGAACCTCACATGACCCAGCAATTCCACTCCTAAATATATACTCAAAAGAACTGAAAACAGGTGTTCAAACCAAAACCTGTACCCGAATGTTCACATTATTACTCATGATGGCCAAAGGTGGAAACAACCCAATGTCTGTCAGAGAGTAAATGGCTAGAGAAAATATGGTGTATCTATACAATGGAATATTATTCAGAAATGAAACAAATGAAATTCTGATACATGCTAACAGAAGCCAGACACAAAAGGCCATATACTTTATGATTTATAAGACATATCCAGAACAGGGAAATCCACAGAGACATAAAGTAGATTACAGATCACTAGCGGCTGAGGGTGAAGGGAACAGGGAATTTTTGCTACACAGTTCCTGCTGGGGTGCTGGAAAATTTTGGAAACAGTAATGACGATTGTACAACACTGTGAATATGATGGTATTGAACAGTGCATTAAAAATGGTTACTCTGATAAATTTTAATGTTTTATATATATAGGTCCACAATAATAAGAAAGCAAGCCAATCCAATGCCAAACTTCAATACATAGTATTAGACTCAGTATAAGAATCCCCACAATATGAGATTCAGATACAAAAAATTACAAATCTTCTTCGGTTCCATTTAACAGGATTTCAGTTCATTCTTCACTTTAAAGTATTTAAATGTACAGATTCTAGACTTAAATAATATTCCCATTACATGAAGTATTACTCCCAGATTTTCTCAGCCTAATTTAATCTCATAGTGTGTGATCATTTATCTGCCATACTTTGACATAGCAGAATTGTAATTAAAAGCTTAAATGTGAATTATATATTAACATATAAACTGTAAACATTCAAAAGCAAAAAGCAAACCCGCAATGAAATACCACTTCATACCCTTTGGTATGGCTAAAATAAAAAAAAAGACAGGCAATAATAAATGTTGGCAATAATGGAGAGAAACTGGAACCTTCACACATTGCTGGTGGGAATGTAAAGTGGTGCAGCCACTTTCCTTTGGTGGTTTTTCAAAATATTAAACATAGGGCTCATGTGATTCAGCAATTTCACCCAAGAGAAATGATATCATATGCTCACCCAAATGTTTTCATAAATGTTCACAGCACTACCATCATTCATTATAGACCAAGGATAGAAATAATCAAAATATCCATCAACTGCTAAATGAATAAAGAAAATGCTGGACATGTGCACAATAGAATACTAGCAGGATATAAAAAGAATGAAGTACTGATACATGCTACAATATGTATGAACCTCAAAAACTTTGTGCTAAATGAAAGAAGCTAGACACAAAAGGCCATGTGTTATATGACTGCATTGATGTGAAATGCTCCAGATGAGGCAGATCAATAGAGAGCAGTTTAGTGGTTGCCTAGAGCTAGGGGTGGGACCGGGAAGGGACTGTTTAAGAGTATTGGGTTTCATTTTCGGGTGATGTAATGCTCTAAAATTAGACTCTGGTGATGGCTGCACAACTCTGTGACTATACTAAACACCTCTGAAATGTAAGTGAGTGATTTTTTTGGTATGTAATACATATCTCGAAAAAGCTTTTTAAAAACCTGCTCCATTCCCTCATTTCTATGCTAGCCAACTTTATTTCCTATGATTCGCAGATATGAATCTTCTAATCTGTCCATCCAGAGTCCAGTGAAAACCCCACCCTCATTTCAATTGCCTGACTCTGCTCACATTGTTTCCGTACCTGGAATCCTCTCCCCAGGGTAGTTAAGTCACATATTCATTTGGAAGATGTTTCTGACCAAGTCAATCCTCACTGACAATTATTCTTTAGATTTGATACCACTTATGATGAGTAACTCTATAACCTCAAATACATACATAAAGCAGTTTCACCTTACTTCCTATCAACATCTAGTTTTTGCCATAGTTACTTGCCTTTAATCTCTTTTCTCAGAGACAAAATGGTTACTCCAGAATTGTAAAGCTCAAACATAACTATAGGAACTCAGCTAGGGCTTTAAGATAAAGAGGACAAAGTATACAACCAAGGAATATTGCAGGATAAATAACATCATGAGTGAATGAAAAGCACGCTCCTTCCTCTATCAAGCCTGGCTAACTCACCAGCTTCACTGGCCAGAACCTTGACTGCATCTTTATATCTCCCTTAACATTCAGCACAGAATCTTGAACACAGATGGTAACAAAAGTCTGCTGAATAACAAATGAATTCTTCGAATGCAACTTCCTACATGTGTATTCAGTAGTCCCCAAACCTAAACAAATATCCAAAATCTTAAAGCAGGAAGTGGACATGAGAAAAAAACTAAAACGATGGGACATCCATTCACTTCTCAACAGTGTATTATGCGTTTTTACTTTGCATTTCAAGGTGGCATCTTACTCCTGCCCTCAAACCTGAGTATGTACCAGGCATCCTTATCTTTAAATAGTTACTGACACTTCATTGTTGTCAGAGTGAAAAAGAGCACTATTAAGAGAAGCAAGAATTTAGATATGACACTTCACTTCCTCTTTGCTTCACCCTAACAGTGGGGTGCCAAGACAAACCCCTATGACTCTACTGCAGTCAGGAAGAAATCAACACCATGAAGCTTGAAAGTACAGTGATGTGTGAAGTGGAAATAAGGATAGAGGGTTGGCAGGGACAGTAGACAAGTCTTAGGAGCTGAATTTCTGAAAGCAACAAAGACAGCAGGTCATAGCACAAAAACCACAGACTGCTGAAACCTGATTCAGACCCTGACTGTAGGAGCCTAGGATCAACGAATTTAAGAGCCTCTCTTTCTGACACTCCGAATAGACAAGACTAATTCCACTACATAAAATTCCTGAACCTGGCCCTGAAATACTACGAACATAGAACACTTTTCTTTTGTTTAGCTTCAGAAATACATTTTCCCCCTTCCTATGCATTTATACTTACCTGGTAATTTGCCTAAATTGGTTAGAGGCCAAAATACACATACTGTAATCATTCAGACTTGCTTAGGGGATTTCTCTGAAGCAAAGTAGTTAGCTCCAAATTTATCATTAAGTTTGTAATAACAGATTTTTTTTCACTTGTTTAATTCGGATCTCTTTAATAATTCTCTTCATATTTGTAAAAACGCCTTTAAATTATACCTTTCCTTCCATATCATTTACTTTTTAATATTCAGTGGTTTAGATTAAGGGATCATGAAATGTATTTAAGGTGGGTAATTCCTCTTTACTTCAATATTCAGAAGATTATTCAGATGCAAAGAGGAAACAAACAACATAAATGCCTAGAAGAAAATGTACAATTTAAATACCTAATTTACATAGGTATTTATTACTTGCTGTCTTCTTTGAACTCATGTATATATAGATAACACTCCCGCTTTAAATGTTCAACAGAATATTTTTATTCTGCTTTTTTGCACAAGGGTAACTACCATCAAGATTTCAAGTTATATGTGATTATCATTTTGAATAATGACTTTGACACATCAGGACAACTTCTCCCAGTGAATATTTCGCTCAGTAATATGAAGAGAAACATCATCACCAGGAGTGAGAACATACTGAACCAGAGAGAGCAGTTCATACAATTCTTGTCATTTGATGGAATCACCCAAATATATGAACAAGAATCTTGACTTCTTAGCGACACAGAAATCAGTGAATGAATGAAATACCAAAAGCACCACTCATCAACATACATTTGTCTTTGTAATTATTATACCACTGGGCAATGATTTTAAACAGGCTATCAAATTGGTAAATGAGAGGGTTTCAATTGCCTCCAAGTAAGAAAAACTGGTTAACTTTTAAATCACCTGCAACAAGAGCAGGCTGACAATGGCTGGCCCATACTAGGAACTCAAAAAATAATTGAAGAATTAAAATAAAAGCCTTCATGAAATGATTTATAAAGATTCTGAAAAAGAAAAAATTCACATGTATACTTCTCTATTTTAGCTTATCTCTTAAAATAAGATTTACACCCAGAAATATTAACTGAGGGTTGAATCTACACAAAAGGTATCTTAGAATTTTTATTATTTCTTCAAATTTCTCTAGTTCATCAATTCACAGTTATATAAAGAAGGCAAATAGAGTATTAAATTAAAAATCCACTCCTTTCAGTCACAATGTATGTAATACAACTGGTTGGACAGGAAATCAAAGATCTGTGAATTTTCTATGCATGTTTCTCAAAGATTACTATCAAAAAAAGGTCAGGTTCTGATCATGGTCTATCTACATAACCCTCACTCAATTTAAAGTACACCCTCAAATGAAAAATATGAGAGCAACATACCCCCCAAGATGGGAAGCACAACTTACTTCGACCTGAAAAAGTTCTCCAGCCCCCTCACAGTCATTGGATGTGATGATTGGAGTATGAATATGCACAAAGCCATTGTCCTGGAAGAGAAAGAGAAACCACTTTTCTCAGTATATGGAATGGAACAGTTCCAAGAACATACACCTTATTCTACATTAAAACAGCCCTAAGAGAAGGCCATATCTAATTCCTCCCTAACTCCCAAATAAAACTATTGAAATATCAAGTTGAGAGTTTACTATGCACAAAGAATTTTAAATCAGAAAATGACTTAAGCAATATCTAGTCCAATCTCCTTACTTCAAAGACAAGGAAATTGAGGCCCAGAGAGATTTAATGAGAGGCCAAAGTCACACAACTAGTCAATGGCAGAGCCAGGACTGGAACCTAGGAGCTCAGGGTCTCTCTGTGGTGCCATTTCTTCTTCCCACTTCTCCATGATACTGGTAATGATTTCACACACGCACTCACACATGCGCACACACACACACACTCACTCACTCAAGGCTACGGCATAATAGTGCTGCTCACATTGCTAAGAGGATGCAAAGTGATCAATATGAAGTTCAGTTATTTTGAAATGAGACCCTCAATTGTAACAAGCCACCAAAAAGAAGATAAATTAAGGATGACAAACAGGGACTGAAGAAACAAACAGCAAAAAAGGCAGAAACGATTTTTGGGAAGTCTGTCATTAAAATGATGGCACAGTGCACTACACATGGCACAGGCTGTGCACTTTCTCTGCCTGAAGGAAGATTCTGAGCAGCATATCCGTCCATTAATAAGGCATCTAACTGCTATTCTTCTGCTCCAAAGTCTGAGACTATTTCCATTAGTGAACCACAAATGCTGTTGCTACTAAAAGTGAAATAACCCAGCAACATCAAGGTTATGCTTCTTTCATTTTGACTATGGATGCAGGCAAAAGGTTACAGGGTGGGGGTGCAGGCAGCTAAAGTGATCTTAAACACTGCAAAGGCAGAACAGGGCATGTTCAATGCAAACATTCTGGCCCTGAAATCAGTACAGTACATTCATATATACACATCTAATCTCTGCTAAATTCTGCCATCACTGGTGATATATAAAATATCTCAGTGCGTTACCAGGGTCCTCCCAAATCTGCCCATTCCTTCCTAAAAAGGTTGAATTCAAGTATTCTGGCTACGATACAAAGTATCCAGCCAACAATTTGCCTTATGATGCAGACTGATTAAATATTCAAGTTATAAATTAGGAGTCTCAGAAAGTATTCAAATATGTACTTAATCTGGGAACAACATGCCTGAGAGGTGCTGCACAGAGCACATTACAGAGAATAAATGAAACAGAATCAGTAACACTACTGCATAAAACTTCTATCTCCTAGGAGCCAAGAATTATGGACATGAATCATTTATTCCACATGAATGCAGGCAACTATGAGCATAAGTGCAGTAAACAAAGAAAGGAAGTGAAAAATCCAAAGGAAATGAGGGTGGTGAGAGGGAGGGGAAGAGGGAGGAGAAAATTTAACGGCTGAATATAATTGCCAAAGTTAGAACTGGTCAACTGCCACAAGAAACAACACCGTAAATCTTGTGAAAATAACTGTATGGGATCTTTTTTAAAAAATCACTCAAGCAGTGAGAATTATTCTTAATATTCAAATAATGCTAAACCTTTCAAAAGGTGTCACCTGCTTTTTAAGCCTTACCACTGTGAGCAAGGCTTATCATATCAAAATCCATGACATTACCACCAAAAAAAGCTACAAAGGAGAGGGTATAAAGGAAGAATAACAAAGAGATGAGAACAAAGTCCCAAAAAGAGAACGTAGACAGGGAAATAGATTTTTTAAAAAATAGCAAGGCATGGAAGAGTACTATCACCGGCTACCTTCAGCAGGATGCCAGCGTCAGCACTTATCCCATCCCACAAAGGGGCTTCTAAAGAGAGATAAGAGGGCCAGAGAAGGGGCCAAAAATACTGGCCCAGTTATTCAGAGTCTACCTACTGCCTCTAAATATCTAAATATTTTGATAGATACATATTTGTATGACTAGATATTTGTAAGGCCCTTAGTATTTGAAAATTACAAAACTCACGTACTAAGGCCCATACACATCAAAGACTCATGGACTATATTTTTCTTTGACACACACAAAACAAGAATCACTATTTAATCACACTCAACAAAAAACAGAATATGACAGCAATTGCTTGCCTGCAGCACATCACTGGCAATGAAAAGTGATAGCAAGAGGAGACCAAAAAAAAGAAACAAAACAAAACCACAAAAAACAAAAACCTGTAAGAAGCAATCACAAGAACTCAAAGACACAGCAGTCTAAATCATTCAGCAGAGGGCCAAAGAACACTCCCCACCGTGACAGGCTTTGAAGGCAGCACTATACTGAGGACGGAATAACCTGACACTCAGAGGAAGAACCTCAACCCACCAAGAAAGGGCAAACTCTGTTCTACTGGTTCACTTCAGGAAGCCAGGTAACTATGTGATACATTTTAGGATAATTTCCACTAGAAATTAGAAAACATTGGCGCTTAAAAAGATAATCCTATTGTTTGAGAAATTCAGTTCTTGTAAATAACCTACTCCTTGAGAGTTCTATATAGCCAGGTTTTGTACTCAGCAAATGTGTTAATTTTATGAGGAAAGCAAGTTATAGAGTAAACATTTTTGATACTCAAACCAAAAAACCCCAGATCCTTAAAGTATCCTAACTAAAAGGTACTGCTCAAGTTTCTATTTTCCCCCTACATTTCTAGGTGTGAAATTCCTGAAAACTTTACATTTTAAGTCTTAACATCTTTTAGGGAGTCTAAAGCAACAAATCATGAAACAGTACCAAACACAGGATAATATGTAACTATTATTTAATATGTCCTATAGTACTCTCATGATTTCTTTACACAATTCAATCCTGTCACACACATAAGTGTGTAACATCTTAGAAGGAGGTATCAGGATTCTATTGTCCAGGTCTTTACAATTAAAAAATGAATTTATAGCACTAAAAACTACCTACCTTTATATCTGTCACCAACAGGGCTAAAATTAATTATTTTCAAACATTTAAAATGTTTTTTAAATTTTAATTTATTTAGCTTTGAGTTCAGATTTTTCTAGTTTCTTATTTTTAAACTGTTTACATGTTTCTAAAAGCTTCAAGTAATAAAAAAATGTAGTTAGGTAAAGCCCACTTGTTAATGGGTTGCCAATACCACCACCTAGTGGCCAGAAATCCATAAAACTTCCAGAATTCAAGCAGGTCCACTGACTTTATCTGCTGTTAAAGTCACATGGGGGAAAATATTTTTACATCTGAAAAAATGTCTCATTTGTGTGGTTCAAGTACCTGAAAAGCCATATGGAATTTGCATAAGAAGGTTTATGAGAGTATATGTAAATCCACCCTTTCAAACTATAATGGGATGACATTGTATAATGAGATTTAGTTTCATTGTTTTACTCATATGTTTTAAAGCCAGGATGTTCTTCAGCTGTCACACCAGAAATTACCTCTTAAGGAGCTTTTCAAAGAGCAAGAACTTTCATGTTATGCTACAGCAGGGCTGGGACTGCGTGAATTTGGATGCCGTCCAAGGGATGGGTATGCTGTCAGGCAGTCTTTGTAAACGAGCTGGTTCTGGTGAAGTGGCTTAGGAAGAGTTCCAAAACCACATGGAATAACACTGAACTTTATCTACTGGATCATTCTTGTATTTGGGGTCCTCTCATCCACACAGGAGGAGGGTCCTTTCAACTCATCAACTTACCAACTACATTCTACTGTTGCTTTCCTGGGTTGGGGGAAATAGCTGAAAAGCAAAGCTAAATGAGACAAAATGCCCTTAGTCATTAGATCAATCTACTGACAAACACCAGTAACTCTTTAAAATTAGGGCTTCCTATATATAAAATGTCCAGACCATGAGAAAGAAACAGGAACTATATTTATCCTCCCATCTGAAACAACAAAAACAAAAAACCCCACAAGCAAACCACATGAAACAATGGTTTTCAAGACATGATATCAGACAACAAAGAAGAGCGACCCCTGAGAGACAGGAAACAAACACAGTGAACCCTACCAGCAGCCCAGCTGACTGCAGTCAGATATTCCAGGCCACAGAAGGAAGAGGGGAGAAATAAAGTGGAGCCAAGCAGACCTCCTAAGTCTAGGAGACAGAACTGAGAGTCTAAGGAGACCAAAATGGCTAGAATTCACAGGACAGAACACCAGAGAGGAGAGCGTTGTGCAGAGAACTCCAGAGAGGTGTAGAGGGTCACCCTGCAGTACTAGGTGGAAGAATGATCCGCACATGCATGTAAGGAAACTATCCAAGGCCAGGAAAAGAATCATCCAAAACGATTAGAGGAAACAGTGCCTGGTGCTCACATGTGGCTTGAAACAATGCCTGTTCCCACGAGCAGACTGAAAGATGGTGTAATTCACAAGGCACTAGGTAAACTACTCAGGAAGGCTTTGTTTCAGTAGTGAGGAATAATCAGACCTAGACTGAGCACTGCTCCAGGTTTACTTGACAAGTCATAAAAAGCAAGACCCTTCAAGTAACCCTGCTACATACCAAAATAAAGCTTAAGAAGCTTTATAAATACCTGGCACCAAACAAGGTAAAATTCACAAGGTCTGGCTTCTAATCAAAGATTAGCAGGTATGTGAAGAGGCAGGAAAACACAATCCATAAGGAGACTAATTAATCAATGAAAACTGACTTATAACTGATGGACATATTAGAAGAAAAGGGCATAAAAAGTTATTAAATAGCTATGAAAACTGTAAACACTTTTAACTAAAGCTGTATTATGTATGCTCAAAGAGTTAAGCAGAGACATGGAAAACATTAAAAAAAAAAAAAAGCCCAAATCAAATACTTAGATATGAAACCTGCAGTGTGTGGGATGAAAAATGCACTGGACAGGAATAACAACAAATTAGCATTGTAGAAGAAAAGATCAGTAAGCTTGAAGACAGCAAGAAACTATCCAAAAGAAACACACAGGAAAAAGAAGATTTTTTTAAAAAGAAAACATCAGTGGGGATATTGTCAAGCAGCCTAATGTACGGGTAATTTCTGAAGTCCTCAAAGGAGACAAGTGACATAAAAAATATTTGAGGAAATAATGACTGAAAAACTTGATGAAAATTAGGACTCACAGATCCAAGAAATGCAGTGAACTCCAAACACAAGGTACATAAAGAAGACTGCACCAAGGCACATCTTAATCAAACTGCTTAAAACCAGGGATAAAGAGAAAATTTTAAGTAAGCTAAAAAACGAGTACCACACAAAAAGGGGTGCTTCGGATAAACAACCAGCGGAACACTGGTTCTTTCAGGATAATACTCCAGCGTTACAGTTATTTAACTTCCTCATAAGCAAGAACACCTAGAAGCTAAGCTTCTTACCTTAAAGAAAGAATGGATAGCAGCTGTGGCTTCGCTGCGAACTCTCAGAATAGAACCCAGAACATTCGTCCTACACCTAAGGTGAGGATATTGTCTCAGATACTCCAGAGGATGCCTCTCTTTGTATTTTAAAGGGAAATCCTGCCAATGAAAGGAAAAATAAGTTAGAAGCTACAAAGATACTGTTTTATCAAATCAGTTTCCAGGGCATTTGTTAAACAGTAGTGAGTGCTTTAGAATAAAATTAAGATGCTTTCCTTATTTCTTAATATAACTGAATATGGTCCACATTAATTCTAACAAGTCAGTTAAACGGTGGGGTGGAATCAGAGAGACGCACATTTGAATCCAGCTCTACTACTTACTAGCTTTGGAACCTTGGGCAAAGTTACTTAATACCACTGAGGCTAACTTGTTATCAAATGTTTATCAGTTAGCCATCAATCACTACTTACAAATAGAGAGATTAGGATATAATTATGTAAAATAATTCACTGGCTCACAGTTTAGAATACTGTAGACGTTACAGATTATGTTTTCTATGGCTATATACACACAGCTGGTGCTCAATTTTAAAATCAGTCAAATGTCCTGGAAGCCCACAAACATTCATAATCAATTAGCGTTATTTATCACTGTTCATCAACACGTACTCTGTCTCAGAACATGAGGGAGGGTCAAAAGCTTTCTGTCATCTGGAAGAGCAGTGTATATTCATAAAAATTGTAAAGGAAATTGCGATTCTACCTGAAAAATTTCCACCGTGCCTACACTCATTTTACAAGATTGAGAAGACAGGAACAAACTTTCAGACCAAAATCAAAGTGTCAATAAAAAACATAACAGGGAACCTAAGTAAAAGAGCTACTGTGGTAGCCTGTTTTAGAGTTAGCTATTCTTTTCAGGGCTTGTGCACATACTAATTAATGTCATGTAGGAATGAGCCCCATACCTACTGAAGTGTCAATATGACCACATTAATAGGAATACAAGGACTGCTAGGAGGTTCAGAACTCCCTAATGTCTGAATACTTAAAAATGACACTGAAATGAGAGGGGACAGTAGGGGAAAGTATCAATACCCATAGAAACCAAGAGAGAACAATTTAAGAAGAGTAAAACACGTGGTGAGTTTTTAATAATCACGCAACCCTCTAAAAAAGGAAAAATAAAAATGGTTACTATCTCCGTTCCTCTCTGGCTTCCAAATTATTTCCAAAGTCTATTTTTCAGAAATCTTAGAACCTGGTTCCTCATTTTACATGTCAATTAGAATTTCTTAGAAAATTACTCAGAACATTTTAAAAAAAATTGCCTATTGGTTTCTTTTTTCCTTATTTTTAATTTCTTCTAATTATCCAAAAGAATAAAAGTGAATTAAAGAAATGTTGTTCCCCTATATTTCCTCATTTTTTGTTCATTAAATAGATGACGGGAAGTATAGCAAAACCACAGAGGAGTCAAACAGCTAGCACATAAACTTCATCTGTGCCACTAATCAGCAGTAGGACCTTATGCAAGTCATTTCACCTGGCTGGGCCTCATTCTCTCCAATTTAAGAAGCTGGATTGATAATCTATGACTTTATTTCCTCTACCTCTTTATCAGGCTATAAATGAAAAGCAACTAACAGAAGAGTCTCGCAAGAACAGGTATAAACATGTCTTAGAGTAGAATTTCTTATCTTTGTTCAGCTGAAGCGTTGTAACACTCCAGCACAGGCCAATAAAATTTTCTGTGATAAATGGAAATGTCTGTATCTGTGCTATACAGTACAGTAGTCACCACTGGATAGTAGGGACTACTGAGCACCTGAAATGTGGCTAATGCCACTGAAGAACTGACTTTTTAATTTAATTTTAACTGATTAATTATTAAACTGCCACAGGTGGCTAATGGCTGCTGCACAGGACAATATACTTGTATATCACATGAAAGTCATTTCAAGGCAGAGCTTTCCTAAGAATGTGGTCTTCCCTAGTATGTCTTTGTCGTTGCAGCTGACTAGGCATAGTTGTAAAAGAAGCAAATTTCAACAGTGACAGGCACTGCAGAGATGCATCAGAGATGCACAGAATAACATTACTTAGCTCTCACTCCTGGGACTCAGCCACCTACATAAATACTTTTTGCTGCTCTCTCCATATTCCTCAGGTCTACAACCTGTTTCAATTGTCCGGGAAGTCACAATCAAATATTTTAAGTGCCACCTTCCCAATAGTTACACGTAAAACATTGCTAGTGTTTTACATTAAGTTTTAACAGCCTCCATTAAAGTGTCACAAAACATACCTTGGCATCACAATTTCCAACAACTTCAATTTTTTCTGCCTTCAATTCCACATTTTGCCTTTTGGATGGACTTTTTACCAGCTGCCCTTGAACTTCCACAGAACTCCCAAAAGCCAATTCTCTATAGTAACAAAAAAAATAGCATAAACAAGACATTACATGTAACCTTCCTCTTAATACAAACCTTGCTATCAGAACATTAAAATATTTAATGACAGACATTTTTAATTTTAATTGGGTTAAGAGCTGCATGCAGTTAAGAGACAAGCAAAGGATAGGTGGGGCATACTGTCATGTGAATGTGTTAGATAGAAAAAGATCTTGATTCCAAGTATCTGGACTTGAGCCTCAAAGCTATGAAAAGCGATTAGTTTAGAAAGATCACTGAGTAGGCAATGTGAAACTTGGATTAGGGAAATGGGAAGTAGAGGAGATTAAAAAAAAAATCAAAGGAACTTAAAAAAACCAACACACACACACACACACCTACTGTCAAAGCTTGAATCTGCTACACCTGAAGCTTACC